TGCTTACATTAGTTTCTTTGAGGAGCACCTTGGAGAAAGTTCTCATGGCCGGGCAGTTAATTCCATAGTTCCCAGTGAAGTGAGAAGCCTTCTGAGCACCAACAGTTAATGGTGGTCGAGTTGCCTGCATTTGCTCCCAGGACGAGCAGGGCCTTGAATGGTCAGAGGCACAGGGCAGGAAGCATTGCATCAGCTGTTCCTTCTGACAGTTCATTTCAATGAGAGAAACATCGTTATCAGAATTCAAGTCAAGCAGGTGTTAAGCACCCACTAGGAGGGCTTTTAATTTTTAAAGATTAGGTTTTGAATAATTGTGCCTGAGTCTTTCAAATTACACTCAAATTCTAAGAAGGCAAATATTATGCGTCATGGCCAAGGCTTCATTGGATATCAAATTTACACTTATCAGGAGGCTCTAATACCATCAATATGTATAATGCAGTTGTGTCCAAAGTGCAGAAAGCATAGAATGTTCTTTCTAAAATGACTTATTTTATAATAAAACGTGTGCCTGATGGGACAAATTTCTCTGTCCCTGGACCTTCATTGTCTTCCTTCACCTGTCTTCTGGTGAAGAGGGGAACTTTCAGCATAATGTAGAATCAAAGGTATTGTGAGAGAAGTCATTATTACTGGCCAGAAAGAGCTTTGTCTGTCTTGTTGCTGCTCCACTCTGAAACATTTAAAGCCTCGGGCTATGGGATTTGCCAGCCGGCAACCATGGAGACTGAAGTCTGTGCTCTGGGCTAAGAACAGTGGGAAAAGAAGAAGGGAGGGGATTCCAAGGGGAGGGGAGCTTCCAGACCCGTGTAAGCCGCCCTTAGTGCAATAGGAGAACTGTAAAAGCATTTATGACACTCTCTGGGATCTGTGTTCCCACTTTGCCTTGGGTAAGACTGGGCTCTTCCTGGTGAAGGGCTGCCTGCACACCTCAACCCTGCAATGCAGCAGGGTTTCATGTCTTTTTGTGGCATGTTGGTAAAAGCCATGATATGTGGGATGTTGAACCCTTCTTAGGAGTGCATGATAATAATGAAAATTATAGACTATCATGCATCGACTATTTATTGTGCTGAACACCTCGGTTGTGTAGTTTGACCAAAGTCTGATTGTCAACATAGCGGTGCCTGGACCAGAACCCAAGTCACAAAGCTGCCATTTCAGAGCACCTCCCACTGTCCTGTGCTGCCCAGGGTTTTTGATCTAGTGTGCTGGTGTGTGCACATATGGAGATGGGAAAGCTGTCAGGACTCCAAAGAATGAGTCCCACATAGATGGGTGATGGGGTTTTAGGCATGTGATCAGAGTATTATTTTTTCGGTTTCTGAGAGTTGTGCCAGATTGGAAGGCTGCCCTGTGCAGATTAAGGATATGCTGTAGAATATGGTTGTTGGGAAGGCTCAAGATAGTACATGGAAAAGAGTCTGGCACAGACCCTGGCATACAATAGTGATTAATAAGTGAACTATATGAACTCCAGAGGGCCTCTTATAATGGCATATTTGAAGTCCCTTTCCCTACTGCCCCACTTTATGGAGCCATTAAACATGGTACCACCATTTGATAGACTTTGAAGAGCTCATCTTCCTTGGAAATCCTGGGGGTGCCCTGGGTTTGGAGACGCATGGGATGAATTTGTGGCTGGTTCTGACAAGCCCTAAGGGTCTACCAGGTGTGTTCTGGACAACCTTGCCCAGTCCTGAAGTTTTATTTTTCACTAGTGATGTTTCCACCTCAGAGCTGAGGCAGAGAGCCTGCTTTCTGGTACAACTTTTCAATGTCAGCCCACAGATGGGGCAGGGTTTTCTGAACAGTGGCATTATGCAAGGTCCTATTCTGGCTGCCTGATTTTGATTCTACTTCTTCCCCAGGCATTTACCTCTATTCCTAAGGTGTATCTAAGACTCACATCCATAGGCATCATAGCTTCAACACCCACCTACTGCTCTAGCTAAAGTCTCCTTTTTTTGCTTCTGGCCCCTGCAAGTTTTCTTTCTTGTTTGCATGTGTATTAAAGAGAAACCTTGTTAAGTTTTGAGAATTTGAGCCATTTACTGAATGGCCCCCTGCCCACTGGAGGCTTAGGTAACCCATCCTGGACTTGAAAGCAGGCACTCTGCCTCCTGGGCCAACCGAAGACCTGAGCTCAGAATCTTGCCTTAGTTGGTACACAACCTTCCCTTTGCCATAACCAAATTCTTTGAATTTCTACTTGGAGGGACCTGCTGAACTCATACCTGAATGAGGTGACATGACTCTCCCTTCCAAGTAAACAACAAATCCAGCTTTGTTTTAGACCATATTTGGTAGTCTTTGTTTCATACTGTCCAACACTTATCAATTTTTTATTTAATTTATTGTTTTATACATCTGTTAGGTCTGCCACCATGTCAGGTAACTTCTGCAGCATCTACAGTGTTGGCTCACATTGTACGAAGTCCACAGAGGCCCTCAAAGTCAGGGGAACATGGACAAAAGTAACCAAACAAGGAAGGAATGACAAAAGCATCTTTTCACTGCTGTACAAGGGCTCTCAGCTGCCCAGCCAAGGGCATGGCTTGCTCTTCAACCCAAAGTCCAGAGGGAGATGGGCCACTTTCTGTGTAGTCAGGAATCTGGGTTCTCACCCTCAGCAGCCATATGGGTTAGGGAACATTTGTCAGCTAGAGAACTCGCTGATCTAGAAAGGGAGACTTTTCAAAGGACAGCCCAAAATATTTTGTAAACTTGTGGAAAACTGATAGCGACTTTCTTCATGTGCCAGCTGCTGACAAGCATTTTTATTTAAAGATATATCAGGTGGAAAAACAGTAGAGTATTTCAGTGCACGAGGGTTGCTCTTCTAAGGGTCACTCGAAAGAAAAGTCACCCTCAGAGAAAGTAACAGACTCAGCACAGAATGTGAGGAATTCAAGCCGAATTCCGAATGGAGACAGTCTCTTAAGGTGACTTAGAGCATGTGTCTCGGGGTTCAGAGGTTGATTGGGTCTGTACCTCCTGGGTAATCTTGACCCCTCTCTGTTTCAGTTTCCACATTTGTATAATAAAGGTGAAAATTATAGCTCCCTATAGACCTGTGTGGGATTAAGGTGATTTCATGCAGGAAAAAGATTTGAAATTGACACATAGCAGACATGACATAAACTTAGCTCTTATTATACTACATAACAGGATGTTAAAACCTCAGAAGTTTGTTTAGCTGAGACCTCTGAGCTGAAAACAGTGTCAAAATACTCCATGCCAATGTGAGTCACTGAACCACCTAGATCTTCTGTGCAGATCACCTGTTTTGCAAAGGGGGTGGCTAGAGTCCGGTTCTGCCAGAGTCAGGCAGGTTGTTTGATTGTTTCTTTAGAGAGAGGAGGGGAATGATTGTTTCTTTAGAGAGAGTTGTTGGAGAACTGTGCAGTTGCCACTTTCCAGGGAATAGAGGTACTTCTCTGTCACTTTAAGTCAAGTGAGGAGAATGTGTTGAGCAAACTATCCAGAGAGCTTGGCCTGCATCTCCTAGAATTTAGGGATGAGAGGAAAGGTCTCTAAAACACATTTGGGAAAATCTGTAGGTGAGAGGCTGTAGATAAAGAGGCCAGAGCAAAAAAATAGAGAGTGGCATAGGGAGGGAAGTCATTTGGGGGAGGAAAATGGGCCCACAAACATATGGACCCCCGGGAAGGGATCCTGGGGTGAGTTGTCTTGAAAAGGATATTTCCTAAGAGTGTATCCTTCCTGGGGCAAAGTGACCTGGGCAGAAAGAGGCTGGAGGGTTACTGCTACATGCAGAGACTGAGGGTCCTAGGGGGAGTCACAAATGGCCATCAAGGAGGAGCATCATCACACCAAAAAATAGCAGTTGCAGGTCGTGTGTGTGTGTGTGTGTGTGTGTGTGTGTGTTTGCAGGGAGGAAAGGGAGTGCCTAAGGAACTAAACAAAATGTCCCAGAGGAAAAAGAGTTACCACGTAGACATCTATTCTACCAGGGAACATCAGTGCCAGATTGTAATTGAACCTTTTCATAAAACAAAACATCTTTTCTGTCACTCCCAGCTTCATCTCAACCTCTGGGGAAGCCTGAAGCAGAATTGTAGGTGATAGTAGAAAGAATAGGTAAACAATATGTGGAAATAATGATGGGGCCAACTCTACCCCATCTTTCTTCCCCATTGCAGGATTTCAAGCTTGTGTTAGAACTAATGAAGGAGGAATTTTTAATTACATGAGAGTTTAAAGTCAACAAAGTGAGTTTGCAGAGGCAGATGTGAAAGATACTAGTTTTCAATCCTTGCACCTTACCATCTTCAATGGTGTTATATCACTTATCCTAGAAGCAGAGACTGGGACAGGTATTCAGATCCCAGCATTCATTGAGAAAGTACTTTCATGAGAAACCTATAGGGGATGGAGTAAAAAAGAGTAGAGCAGGGGAATAAGTTAATCGAAGAAGTGATCTCAGGTAGGGTCTAACCTTGGCCTGATCCGTAGGATCAGTGGACCATAAATAACACCACAAAGATGTCCCATCTAGAGGGGAAGGGACTGTATTAGTCAACTGGGAGAGGTTGGGAAGGTAACCTCCTGGATGAATTGGCTCCTGTCTGTCAACCAAGGGCAATTCTTCAAAGAAGGGGACAAGCTTTCAACTAAACAGCTAACCCTTGACCTAGCTGAGTGGTGGGTGTCCCAGCCCAGTATAAGGGATCTAGGTGAGCACAAGAGTGACTACTATAATACCTTATTCCAGAGAGTATTCCAGGTAGTCTTTTCTTTTCAGGAACTCCAGCAGTCTCCTTAAAATGTTATGTGTAGTTGATATCTACATTAGAGACTTAGTTTTGAAAAGTGCTCTGTCTGTGAAATACCCAATGAGGCAAAGCAAGTTTCTCTACCCAATTTGTGTCGCTAGATCGAACTTGACATATAGTGCCCTTCTTTTTGGAATTCGTGTTTTCCTTACAATAATAACGATGCAGCATAGCATACACATATGTTTTTCTCTTTTCCAGAGTAAGAAGCCATGTAAAATGGAGTCTTGTGCACCCCTAACATTTGTTGTGCCCAATGCAAGAGGACAAGTGGAGGTCTACATGCCATATATCAGAATATTTAAAAGGTATAAATTAAGCTAACAAGCTATAAAGCAAAATTAGCTGTATCCATCTACGTTATAGTATATGCTTCATAACAACCTGGGAGACCCAGTCTGAGTTTATAATTTCCATACCCCTTGAAGTTCATGCTGGAATGAGATGGCAGTAGAGAGTGGGCCCCTGAGCTCCGGCTCCCCTCCCCTCCTCTCCTCATCCCTAGTTCTAGCCTGTTCTGTGAGTGACCTTGTGCACAAGTTTATCAGTCTGCTTGGGCTGCCATAACAAAATATTACAGGCTGGGTAGCTTGAACAACAGAAATCTATTTTGTCATAGTTCTGGAGGCTCGAAGTCTCAGGTCAAGGTGCCGGCTAATAGGCTCCTGGTCAGAGTTTCCTTCCTGGCTTGCAGATGACTGCCTTCTTGCTGCACCCATACGTGGCCCTTTATTGAGGCATGTGGAGAGAAGGCGCTCTTTTGTCTCTTCCTCTGCACATCATCCCTATTGGATTATGGCCCTATCCTTATGAGCTCACATAACATTTACTACCTCCTAAAGGCCTTACCTCCAAATACAATCAACACAGGGGCTAAAACCTTAATGTATGAATTTGAGAGGGATGCAGTTTAGTCTGTAATGCAAGGTTATAGACGTTTTGTTGTTCTTTTATTTGGCCACCTCTCAGGCCTTGAGGTGTCATATCAATAACACAGTCTACTTTTGGAAAGACTAAAACAAAGAAAAAGCCGATAGCTTTGGAAATAGACTTGGGGCCTTTGGACAGGGATTTTGAGCACTTGGCCTAGATAAATGCTATCCAGTGCAATGATGAAAATATTCTATATTTGGGCTGTCCAATATGGTAGTCACTAGCTTCTCGAGAACTCAAAATGTGGTTAGCATGACTGAGAAACTGAATTTTAAACTTTATTTAATCTTAATTGAAATTTCAACAGCCACATTTGACTAACAGCAAGAACATTGCTCAGTCAAGATGAAGAAGTTGGGGAGCAGGCTCTGTGTGAACATGTCCCCTGGCCCCACAAGCATCTTGCTCTGTGGGTAGGTGCCAGATTGTGTTTTTCAAAGATGGTCAAACATATGTATTTATCCCATCCCACACACTCTTAGAATGTGATTGACACACACTCTATCCAGAGGTGGGGGTATATGTTCTCCCAAGGCAGGGGATTGTGACTTCCTGGACTAAGGAAGAATTCTCTTTCCCTCCCTCCCTCCCTCTCTCCCTCCCTCCCTCTTCTCTCTTACTCCGTCTTAGAACTTTTGCTTTTGGAACTGTGGGAATAAGCAAAGACCACCCAAGAGAACAAGCAAAGGCTATTCAGTTCAAAGTTTGTATAGTACAACAGTCAGCCAACATCACTTATGTTTTGCCGAGATCCAAAGGCAGGCAGAGGAGTGGAAAAGCTATAGAGTGGAGAAAAGGAAGGATTCAAGTATGCCCTGATTGCAGGTGATTGGTATCACCTGCAGAAGCTGTAGGCACCCTATGTGATTGGTTAGGGGAGCATCTTTGCCTTTCTTGGCTGGTGTTAAGTTGGGCGTGGGGGGAAAGTTAGGAAAACTATCAACTACTGATCAAGTCCTGGCTGTTATAAGCTAATTGCTGCAGAGGTTGTGGTTAGCTTCCTGGGGTGGTTGCTGCTGATTGTGGGTCAGAGTTCTATTTTCATATATGATCTAGCCATTATCCATCTGTATACACAGTCCTCAGAACCCAGCCACCATTGTGTGAGGAATCTTCCCATGTGGAGAAGAACTAAGCTCCTCTGCAGCCAAAACCAATTTGCCAGCGCTGTGAGTGGTCCACCTTGGTAGTATGTCCTCCAGTCCAAGTCAGGCCTTCAGATGGCTGTAGTTTCATCTGACATCTGATGGCAACATCATGAGAGACCCTGAACCAGACCCCTCCCCCAGCTAAGCTACTCACAAATTCACAACCCACAGAAACCATGAAAAATACAAATGATTTTTTTCTTTTAGTATTTTTAATTATATTTTATTGATTATGTTATTAGTTATCTAATTTTTTCTCCCCTTTATTACACTCCTCTCTGCATCCCAACCCCTGCCACCCTCCAGCATTCCCCCCTTAGTTCATGACCATGGGTGGTACATATAAGTTCTTTGGCTTCTCCATTTCTTACACTATTTTTAACCTACCCCTGTCTATTTTATGACTACCTGTTATGCTTCTTATTCCCTGTACCTTTTCCCCCATTCTCTCCCTCCCAACTGATAATCTTCCATTTCTGTGATTCTGTTCCTGTTCTAGTTATTTGCTTAGTTTTTGTTTTTTAGGTTCAGTTGTTGATAGTTGTGAGTTTGTTGTCATTTTACTGTTCATAGTTTTTTTTTAATCTATTTCTTAGTCCCTTTAACATTAGTCCCTTTAACATAAGTCCTTTTAACATTTCATATAAGAGCTTGATGATGAGGAACTCCTTAAACTAAACCTTATCTGGGAAGCACTTTATCTGCCATTTCCATTTTAAATGATAGCTTTGCTGGATAGAGTAATCATAGCTATAGGTCCTTGCCTTTCATGACTTGGAATACTTCTTTCCAGCCCCTTTTTGCCTGCAAGCTTTCTTTTAAAAATTAGCTGATAGTCTTATGGGAACTACTTTGTACGTAACTGTCTTCTTTTCTCTTGCTGCTTTGAAGATTCTCTCCTTATCTTTAATCTTGGGTAATGTAATTATGATGTGCCTTGGTGTATGCTTCCTTGGGTCCAACTTCTTTGGGACTTTCTGAGCTTCCTGGACTTCCTGGAAGTCTATTTTCTTTGCCAGATTGGGGAAGTTCTCCTTCATTATGTTTTCAATTTCTTGCTCTTCTTCTTCTCCTTTTGGTACCCCCATGATTCAGATGTTAGAATGCTTAAAGTTGTCCCAGAGGTTTCTAAGCCTCTCCTCATTTTTTCCCTTCTTGTTTCTTCATTCTGTTCCTGTTGGATGCTTATTTCTCCCTTTTGTCCAAATTACTGATTTGAGTCCCAGTTTCCTCCCTTCACTGTTGATTTCCTGTATAATTTCCTTTATTTCACTTTGTGTAGCCTTCATTTCTTTCTTCATTTTGCTCAATCAGTTCTGTAAATATCCTGATTACCAGTGTTTTGAAATCTGCATCAGATAGGTTGTCTGTCTCCTTGTCGCTTAATTCTATTTATGGAGTTTTGATCTATTCTTTCATTTGGGCCATATTTCTGTCTTGGCACACCTGTTATGTAGTAAGGGGGGGAGCCTTTGATATTCACCAGGACAGGGCAACCCTCTTTGCTGCATTGTAGCACTGATGTGTGGGAGGGGTCGGAGAGGGAACAATGATGCTTGCTCTGCTCTTGTCCCAATTTTCATCACTTCCCTTGCTTCCCACAAGCAAACTGGGCCCTTTTGGTGCTGATTCCTGGGTGGGTGGGTTCATATATATTTTAGGACTCTGTGGGTCTTTCCAACGAACTCTCCTGTGAGGCTGGGTGTTTCTCCCACCACCACAACCCCCAATGAAATTTTACAGCCAGGGGTTTTGAGTCGTAGTTTCCTGCACTGAATCCCTGGGTTTGGTGGTCTGTCTCACTCCCCTGTTATTCCTCCTGTCTTACCTGCTCACAAATGTGGGATCACCTGTGTGGCACACCACCATCCTTTCCACCCTGGCTGCCCATCTCCTCCTAGTCTGGATGAATGTTTTTTTCAACTCTTTGGTTGTTGGACTTCCATGCAAATTATTTTCTGGCAGTTCTGGTTTTTTTTTTTTTAGTTGGTTGTTATCTTTCTTTTGGTTGTGTGAGTAAGCGAAGCATTTCTGCCTACACCTCCATCTTGGCTGGAACTCCTAAATGATTTTTCATTTTAAGCCACTGTGTTTTGCAGTGATTTTTTTAATGCCACATTAGACAACTAATGTAGGAGAGGGAAGCAACAAAAAAGGGCCATCCAAGAACCCTCAAAGGTGTGGGACTTGGGACAGGGGCCTCTCCTGCCTGGATCCAAAGGCAGTGCTGATAGAAAGATATTGATATTGTTTGTTGCAGTACCTTAGTATTTCCTAGGGAATGATGGAAAATTTATACAAAAGAGGAACTTGGAGGACTGATTAGGTGTTTTGAGATCAGAACATTTTTTAATATGAGCTATAACTAAAGAGCCCTCTATTGGGTATACACCCACAGACTAAAATGTAATGAGCCCATGTATTTACTTGGCTGTGTATGCACACAGAAATGTACACGTTTGAGAATAGTCACAGTGGAAGGAGATCTGCTTAAGTGGATGATGCTGTCTGTCACTTTTCAGAAATGCCTGAGAAACTTCTCTTTCAGTATTGCCCACAAAGCTGGATTACAAGCTTCCCATGAAACCAGACTCATCAGTCAAACTGAGATGTGGTTTGTGACCCCAGACAGCCTTCCCTGGCTTGATCACCCAACCTACTTAGCAGACTTCTCTCTGAATGTCTTAGAACTGTTTCTGAAACCCACATCCCCCCTCTGAGGACACACGCTGTCAGCGCTATCTTTCTAAAACACATCTCAGATCATGTGCTTCAGTAGCTCTCAGCCGCATAGAGAATTAAGTCCCAACTTCTCAGCCAGATTTTCAAAACCTCCCATAATATACAACCCCCACCTCCCTTTCTGGTGCTGTCAGCCCAGAACCCACAATGCCCTCTCTGCCCACCACTGATAGGCACCGCTTCCTGAGACCCTGGTATGTGCCCTGCACTGTGCTAAGAGCTTTACATAGCCTCTCATTTTATCTGCTGTGAGTTTGTAGGGCAAACGTCATCTGTAGAGTAAATGATAAAACAGCGAGCACTAACACTTTGTATCGTCCTTCCAATGTGCTAATCCCTGTCCAAGAGAAAATGAATAATATGAGACATACATGTAATTTTTCTAATTGCCACTTAAAGAAGAAACAGGTGAAATTGGTTTTAATAAAATATTTTATCAGCGAATATTAATCA